TATTTATATAATATTCACAATATTTACTGAAACTTATTTGCTGTGTGTTGAATTCAGGTTGAGTACAGAGAGCGTGATGGTCTCGATTGGACATCACAGAGATGCATGACAACCCGCACTGAGGTGAAGGAGCTGCAGCCAGACACCATGTACAGGTTCAGGGTGAGTTACACACACACACACACACACACACACACACACACACACAGACTGGTGATATCATCGTGCACACATGTGGATGTATCTGACTCGATGATTCTCAGGTGGCAGCAGTGACCAGTCGAGGTGTGGGGAACTGGACAGAGGTGAAATCCATCACTCCTAAGAAAGGTAACTCGTCCGTGTGTCAGTGTCACGCACGCAAATACAATTTAAAACATCTGTCCAACACTGTCCCCTGCTGGTGTTAGGTAGGAATGTCAGGTTGTGCAGGTGTGCTGTGCTTGGAGTCACACCAGTGTTTGTAACTTCGGCCGTGATGGTTGAACCGCTGATTAAATGAGATCGTTCGGTCTCCGTGCACAAAACGCGTGCTCGTCCCGGTCATCAGAAAATAACTCACCACATAACTTGAAAACCACAGACGGCTTCAAGACTGAATTCATTAAACTCAGTTCATGGTCATTTAAAGTGCTCTGAAACCTCATTAAATTAATAATGAGATTACGTGGCTATTATAAACTCTCAAAGTTAATAACCAGGGGAAAAACTCAACTTACCACAGAACTTGCTTTTGTGGTCAACTCAACACGGTGTCACGGCGTCGTCGTCGTCACACTGTTCAGATTCAATTATGTCACGTTCAGTTTTCTATTGATTCGTCTTTCACATTCTACTCTGTCCCATAAAAAGACATGAGAAAAGAAAACATGTTCACAAAGATTCTGTCCCTCCTTCAGTCAAATATTTAAAACATTCTCCAAACTGCACTTTAAGCATCCAAGCTTATGGATGTTTTAACTCTTAAACTCGGAGAAAGAGAAAGTTTTAACCTCAGTGACGAGGTGTGGTTGAACCTGTTGCTGGGTAGGATGGATTCTTTTAGAAGCTGTGATTGGTAGATCAAAAAAATTAAATAAAGATTTCTCCCATTCTCTGTAACTGTTTAATTTAACTTTAACACGTTTTTCACTTTGAAATTCGTTGTGAAGAAAGAATTAAATTTAGTCACTGTGAGCAACTGTGACGAACCTTTGAGAATACAGCTGCTGGAAGGCTTTTAATGTGAAAGTCCTGGTGGTTTCATTTAAGTTGAGTTCCTCTTTGTCCTGCTGTTCTCTGCTTCAGCTCTGCCCCCCCCCTCTGTGATCGCCGACAGCCTCACCAGTGACTCCATGAGTCTTTCCTTCAGCCTGAACTCGCAGTACGACGTAAGTCTCTCCTCAAACAACATCTCGGGTTTTGCTGCCTCGTAAGATCGTGTTCTGTTCGCGTGTGTCCGGACACGACTCACGGGTCTCCGGTGTTTTCTTTAAGGTGAAACAGTACATCGTGATCCTGTCGTGGCAGTTTGACAAACACGTCAAGGAGAGCAAGAACTACACAGTCAGAGAGGGGATTCTCAAAGGTACTGTTTGACGGTGACGTGTCTCAGACACTTCAGCACTTTCAATTTCACGTGACACCCACTGTCATTTCAATCCACTCATTCCGTGTGTGATGCCTGTTTCCAGCTACGAACCTGACGGCAGGAACTGTGTACGAAGTGGCTGTGTGGGCTCACACCAGCATAGGAGACAGTCCCACTGCCCTGTCCCATCATCAGACCGCCAGCACGCAGCCAGAGAGGCCGTTCCTCAAAGCCAAGGCTCTGAATCAGACAGCTGTGGACTGCAGCTGGACCATCAGCGGACCCCCCGTTCAGGTACAACAGACACCAGAGATGCACACCAAGCAGCGAAGTTTGAAATGAAGATTTGAATTATTTATTTACATAAGATCTCTGAAATATCGTTGTAGTAAAGTAGACCAGGCTTTAGATGGATCCAATGTTCCCTCTCTGGAATAAATACTTTACTGTAGCTGCCACACACCATCCACAGAACCCTCCACTGAGTCCGCACGTCCACTTTGTTTTGTTTGCGCTGTGTGTGTAGATGTACGGTGTGTTTTATGCCACCTCCTTCCTGGATTTGTATCGGAGTCCTCACCTGGTCCGCACCACTTCCCTCAGCCTCACAGTCACAGTGGACAGTGATGAACAGTATCTCTTCCTGGTGAGTCTTTTTTTAAAAAATCCTTTACAGACTATTTCTCTCCACTTAAACATCTGCTTCCTCGAAGTCTGGGAGTTTGTGCTGATACCACTGTCATGTGTACCTGAGGTGTTTTTCTTTTATGCTGTAAAGCTAAAATGCGGAGACATCTGGGCAGATGTCTGAACCCCCGAAAGTCTCACATGAAATCATTCACATCTCTCAGTCACACTTTGCCGTTTTCACACCAAACGGGTTGGGCTGGCATGAAGCCAGACTTGTTCCAGCAGTCAGGGGTTCTGAACCGAGGCTTCTGGAGGGCGGAGTGATCCTCAGTCTTTCCACCTAATAAAGAAAAAGTCAGAGCAGAAGTTGTAAATTATTCTGCGTCAGGTTCGACAAATGCAGGTGCAAATGGGAAACGCGATCTGATGTGGAAGGAAAAAGTGAAGAGCTGATCGTTGAATTTAAATTCATGCACTTTAGTGTGATTCACTGCAGGAACAGATTTAAAACCATCAGAGTATTCAGCGTCACTTTGCTTACGCTACCCTTCAATACTTTAGATCATTAACATCATCCATCGTCTGTATTTGATCAACGAGACCTCATCCAGGTCTTCCTTTAGTAAAATGTAAGAGTACGATTTTATTGTTGTTGCGTCACATTGTTGTTCTTTGGGTATATTTGTGTCCGTTGATGTTAAAAGCAGCGTAATAATTAAAAAACAGACATTTTAATGCAGAGCAGTTAATTCTAACTGGAGGGTTTTCTAACCTTGTAGGTGTCACTGTTGATGAATGATGTAATATACAGGTCACATCATTGTTGGAGTAGAAGTCATTGTCCAGGTGATCGAGAGCATCAGCTTTCTTCTTTTGCGTCATTGTGATTTTTCTCACGTGTCTCTTCTCAGGTGCGTGCGGTCTCCCCCTTCCTGGGTCCTCCCTCCGACTACTCTGTGGTGAAAATGATTCCCAACGAGAGGCTGCCTCCCAGAAACCTCCATCGTGTGCGAGTAGACAAAACACAGGCCACGCTGAAGTGGCAGCCGCCTTATGACGCCCCGAACAGCGCTCTGGTACGACACTGTCTCATGTTCCTGATAAATACATGATGATAAGCATCAGGAACATGATCAGGAGGCTGTTTCATGTCCCGATAGAGCCGAGCAGACAGCAGCAGACAATCTGATGTGCAAATGCTGAGGTTCACGCCTGTGTGTGTGTGTGTGTGTGTGTTTCTTGCATCTCTAGACATATGCAGTCCACGTGCGGGACGTCATCCGTAAAGTGGAGCGTGATTACAAGGTGACCACACCCAACAACACAGTCGAGTACCTGCTGAAAGGCCTGGAGCCCGGAGGACGCTACAGCATCTCTGTCCGCCTGCGCAACATGAGCAAGGAGGCCAGCTTCACTCTCAACACAGGTCACACACACACACACACACAGAATTTAATTCTTATTCATTTTAATAAGTGTTAATTGTTTTACTTCATACATCAAAGTGCACACCACGATGCAGTTTGTAGTATTTGTATTACATTGTACTCTGTCATGAGCTCCCACCGCTCTTAGATACAAGCAGTAGCTTCACAGAGTCCGACAGAGTGAGAGTCCAGTGTTGCTTAAAGAATGATTTGCTCCTCTGCTGCAGTTCCTCTTCCTGCTCCTGAGGCTCTGAAGATCTTGACAGAGAAAGACCACGTGTTTCTCTTCTGGAAGAGTCTGGCCGTCAGAGAGAAGGACTTCAACGAGAGCAGGGTGAGACGCTGCCGAGCACTAACTTCTGTTTTACTTCTACTGCTTCTCACACTCTACTAGAGGCCTGCTGGTCTCTTCATGCAGCTAAATGATGTAGAATAATAATAATGTTCTTGACGTCGAGGTTTGAACAGATGGTTAAGGGACATGTAGCATCGATAACACAAAAATAAATCATCTTTTCAAGTATCATTGGACACAGTGGTGTGTTCTTAAGGACAGATTTTATTCCCCGTGTTGACGCTCTTTTGATCGTCCTCTGACTTTCTTGGCGTGACCTTCACAGGGGTATGAAGTGCACGTACATGACAGCGTCACCAACCAGACGTCCTACCTGGGAAACACCACAGAGACCTACTTCCGCATCAGCAGCCTGCTGGTGAACCACAACTACACGTTCACAGTGCAGGCCCGCTGCCTGCTCAGCGGTCAGCTGTGTGGGGAACCCGCTCTGCTGCTCTATGACCAGCTGACAGCAGGTACTGCGTCTCCAGACTCACTGCATGTTCCAACCTGAGCTGTAGCATAAAGGATTAAAAAAAAAAAGTGTGCACGGTTAAATCCAGTGACCGTGAACTTGATTTTCCCTTTCGTGTGATTAATGTTCCTTCCCACACGCCCAGGGGCCAGTGACGCCTCCCGCAGCGAAGGCCACTCGGGGGACATGGCAGCAGTGGTAGTGCCCGTCCTCTTCCTGCTGCTGCTCGGAGTGTGTGGCAGCTTGGTGGCACTCTACCTCCGTCACCGCAGACTGCAGAACAACTTCACAGCCTTTGCCAACTCCCACTACAACTCTCGCTTGGGCTCTGCCATCTTCTCATCAGGGGATGAACTGGGTAAGACTTTCTACTTTATATATATATGGTCGTCCAGGAAGCTCCCACTGGCTGCTCAGGTTGTCTCTGAAGTGTAGAAGGTGGAGAGATTCTGAGGGGTGGAAAGAAATCACCTCACGTTAAACTTTAGAAGAAGACACAGAAGAAGAAGATGTAGTTTCCCTTCACCCGCAGCAAAGGGCAAGAAAAGAAAGATTACGTGTCGTTTGGATAAACAAGAGAATAGATCCACTAGGGTTGACACAGACCTTAACATATAACAGAAATCCTTCTTCGTGTGCCGTGTTTCCATACACGTCAATGGGAGATTGAAACTTCTGAGACATTCAAGTCACAGGACTGATCAGCTGTTTCCTCTTCTCGAGAAGAAGAAGAAGAAGAAGAAGAAGAAGAAGAAGCTGGTAACAGAGAATAATTGTAACTTGCCTGTGTAGAGGACCAAAGTAAATTTTATCGTTTCTTCCCCTTCGTCATCAAACACATTTACTGAAAGAACCAATTCCATCTTAATGCACTTATTTAAAAAGTCAAGTTTTCTCGAAAATGTATTGGTAAGACGGAGAGTCACTCTGATTTGCAGTCAACGTGATGAGCTGTGGTCGTCAGGGTGCTCGTCTGTCGGTCTGTGTATGAAAGCATCATGAAAAGGTTCTGACTAACTGCTGAACAACAAGCAGACGCAGAACAAATCTGTTTCTAAGAAGCTGGATTTTCAGGAAAGCGCTGCCGTGCTCACAGCGATGGAGAAGGAAATTAGTTTTGATCGGCACACAAGGCAAAAAAAAAACTAATAACAACATAAACCATGTTGGAGCGCTACCCTGCAGGTTACTGCATCAGGACACAACTAAATGGATATGATGTAAGAGGTGCTGGACTCATTTATGAAATATTATTAATGTTTCAAATTCTAGGATTATGGTCAATGCCCCCTAATATAATGAATACAGAATATGAACGAATAGAAAAACATGTTGATCAGTGCGGCCGTAACTCACACAGCAAAGACCTCGCCGTGAACATTCCGCTCTGTTCTCTCCTCTTCCTCTCCAGGTGATGACGATGAAGACGCTCCCATGATCAGCGGCTTCTCAGACGACGTTCCCATGGTCATCGCGTAGCAAGACATCCCTCCATTACCTGTTTATCTCTCCGCCCTCCTCCTCGCCTTCTCTTTCTCTGCCCCCCCAACCCCATCGCTCCGCCCTCCCTCCCCCCTCCTCCTCCCTTCCTTCCTTCCTTCCTTCAAATAACAGGAAATATGAAGAAAAAAAAAAAAAAGGAAAAGTGTAACAAGAGAAAGAGATATTTTTCAAATATACAATGCACTTTGTTTTGGATGCGCAATAACTTATTTTTTATAATACTAAATATATATGTGTGTGTTTGGGGTCAAAAAAGAACTGGGAGGAGGACACTGAAACAAACTGTGAAGGATTTGAGTTTGTGGAGGGGAAAGAGAGACCCTGTTTGTGATGCAAACTCACTATCCATATGAGCGGTTCACTGCTTAAAGCCAAAAGAAGCATCCAGAGACTGAAATATAGAATGCAAAAACATTTTACGAGTCACAAAAGAAAAAAAAATACATATTTAGAAATGGTATATGCTGTAAACAAAATGTCCACATAGAAACGGTCGGAGCGGTAACTGTTACATAGTTCGGTGATAGTACCGCGTGTACTCTATAGCAGTGTACGTAACGGTGGTGAGAGTCGGATGAGTTAACTGCGGCTCACGTTTCTTCATTTACTGAATCTCGGAACTGTTCTTGTAAACATATTTAAACAGATCCGTGACTGGATCGGCCATCGGCACCTTGTAGTGTCCCCCATAGATCCACTTTTTTTTACTCTGTTTTCCACCACCAGCACACTGTTCTATGTCTGTATGTAGAGGCAACACATGTCCCACGATATATGAGAATACTTCTGGCTTTGAGGGGGAAAGAATCCCTCACAGCATCGCCAAGATCCTAACTATTTGTAAATATCTGCTTTTAATATGTCCTCTCCTCGTGATGCTGTACCATATCATTCTGTAAAATGTGTAATCTTTTTTTTTTTTTTTTTTTTAATCATTCAGGACCACAAATTATTGCCCCCCCCAGCATTTTGCCATAGCTGTAGTCGTAGAGGAAGTGTGTTTGGGGTTCTCAGGGAACTGTGTCAGAGCGGACACCAGCGCAGCACCACCACCACCACCACCACCACCACCACGGCTTAGGCAGCACCGTCCATCTACTGTTGATTAGGTACAGAAACCTCTGAGGAGGTCAGGATCAGCGGTGGGTGGGATGACTGGCAGGTACACGTCATTGTCAGCGGTGATGATGATGATGATGAAGAGTCAGGTTCGGTTAAAAAGGTCGAAAGGGCTGATTCATGCAAAAATACACAAACGTGCGTGTTCTCATACCTCACCTCATTGTTGGGGTTTTATTGGACGTGGTTTTAAGAGATCCGTCGCTGAGATTTCTCTACTTCTCTTTCTAGACACGTTTATCTTTTAAAAATCGCTTGTGACCGGCTGCACTGAAAAGTGTGAGAGCAGAGTAAGTGGCACTGGAAGCTCTCGCGGATTCGGAGGCGAACTAGGCGGCGAAGGTTCACCTTCACACGCATGTGTGACCGGAAGCCTTAACGCTCAGTCAGACCTGATTTTACTTTGAAAACTAGCGTATGTTGTGGGAGCTAGCACGGCTAGTCGGCTAACTCTTAACCGAACAATTTGATTTTAATTGTCCTCTACAAACGTTTTTGCGTCAGTGGGAGTCAGTAGGTGTCGCGTCTTCGAGTTATGTAAAAAAATAAATTTGTGCAATACTTAAATGTAGCATTTTTTTTTTTTTTTTTTTCCATTTGACATTTTTTGTTTCGAAACTTCAACAAAACTTCAGTTCGTCAATAAAATCCAGTTCAAGACTATTTAATAAAAACGGTCACTTTTAAAAAAAAAAAAATAGATTTTACGGCTACAAACAATAATAATTTTTTCGTTGATGACATATCCTTGTTTTTTCGATCATTCAATTCCTCGTTCGGTTAATTCATCACAAAACATTGATGGATGTTTAACTTGAATTTGATGTGTTTTCTTTTTTCTCTCTTTTCTGTTGAGGCAGAAATCTCAGAGATCGATATCTCAAAACATTTACGAACATTAAAAGAACATAATCTAGATTTCAGGTCCTGTGTGTGAGAAAACATACTCTCTATTGTTCGGTTAGCTGATCTGTCTTTCTCAGTATGTACGGTCACACTGTTTTAAGTCCGCACTAAAGTCCATTAACTGATTTTTGTGTTTTGCGTCTCAGCTTGAGCCATTTGATCCGATGGTGTTCTGCTCTTGTTTTGTTTTGTTCGTCGAGGTGTCTTCATGAATGTATTTTATACTGTATCTATACTTTCCAAGGTACTGTCCCAGCTCATAATGCTACTGTCACCACCTGTGAGGTGAATGCACACTCTCCGGTTCTGTCCCGGCTGCAGTGAGTTTGTAAAGCACCCGTTCTGCACCACGGGCTCTCTGTGGGTCCTCTGTAGATCTTTGCAGCTTTCAGCGCTCGAATCATTAACCCAGAGCAGCAAACCTTTGTCTTTGTCAGGTAAAGCCCAGAAAATTCACATTCACCATCTCATTCTTCCCTCTGTCATTAAACCCAGTCTGTGCTGTAACGTGTGAGGTTTGGTTTTTCCGCTCTTTACCCTGTTTTTCACACTTTTGGTTTCTTGGCCTTAAAAACTGATTTTTCTGGCATCGATGCTGTTTTTTTTTTTTTTTTTGCTCTGTGGATTTTCTGACTTTGTGTTTTGCCACATAATGCCTTATTAGAACACATTTGGTTTTTGTGTAATGTATTGTTTTTTTGTGATAGAACACAAGTGCACATGCATGCCTACAGATTCTCACACACACACACACACACACACACACACACACACACACACACACGCACTACCCATACATCAGGCTAAGGAGGCTAAAGAAGAGGTTGGTGTCGGGGCATTCGGTTTTCTTTGTCAGATCACTGCTCCTTTCTGCGTCGGCTGCTGCAAGCGGCCACTTAGTCTGGTTTTAGTCAGGTTTTACTCATGTACAAAGTATGATTATTTGTTATTATGTGGTGGTTTGCTCCCCTCTTGTCTTAATGTCAACTCTTGTCAAATAGTTTGCTTTAAAATGTCGTTTGGCACAGAGGACAGTTGGACTTGGCCGTGTCTGAAGATGTTAATGTCTCGCTTGCTTTTCTCTGAGGTTGCAAGAAAACGGAGATGTTTGGAGAAACAGTGTGAGGTGTTTTAAAAAAACCACTTATACTGGAATAAAGTTGATGAAAATGAAACTCTCGTCGTACCCTTTCTTTTACGCAGACAAGGAAGTGAAGTCAACCTTTTTGTCTTGTTACTGAGGTATGGATGAATACGTCATGTATGATGAAAGCACAGGAAACGTGAACTCCAACATACAGTTGAGAAATGCCGTGTTCAGTCATGCATGAGGACTCAAGGGGAAAACAGTAGGAGGTTCCTAAAGAGTGACCCTGAAAGGTCCTCTGTATGGAGGCTGACAGGTGCTGTCAGAATAATTAAAGTTTTACACTGTTTGATTATAATCAATTAATAAACTGACCTTTTAAAGAATAAAGTAAATCATTTAGATGAATTAAAACAATAGCGTATGAAACGTAAAGAAATCAGTAATTTACACAATTTAAATTTTATTTATTTTCTCATTCTGTTTTTGAATAATTCATTTAAAACAACAATAACTTAAGTTCCATTTAAAGTGTGGACAATCAATCATTTGATTGAGGAAGGATATAAAATATAACTTCATGTTACTCTTAGCTCTCAAACAACATAAAAGATAAAGGACATGATTTACTTTTAAAAGAACGAGATACAAAGAATAAATAAGATGTTACTGTCATAACGCTAACATCGTTTAGGAAGAAGGAATTGCAGTGACAGTGATCAGCAATGTCTGAGTGTATTTTGTATTTCTTCAACTCTACTTTAACCCTCTATGACTCTTCAACGGCTCCGCAGGACAAATCCCCCCCTGACGTTTACTCTGGTGTCCTCAACAGCTTGAAGTCGTAATGGTGAAATTGTGAAATGAGAGTTGAGCTGGGAGGTGAAGCTTTCAATTTACCAGTCGATCCATGAGTTCATTTGCAATCCATGCAAAAATATTTATTGAAATATAAGTATTTGTCTGGTTGACCAACGTACACTGAGATCCCTGAGTTATTCAGCTGAAATGGTTAAGCCATTGAAATCATTAGGAAGCCAAGAAGCAGCTCAGGGATTCGTACATTTAATAGAATAAATCTCAGAGCATTTTAAAAGACTGTAGATTATAAAACCACCTGGTTGTAAGCATCACTTCTATTTTAATCAGGTTTCTAATTTAAGACTGCCCAAATTAGTTTAAGTCCAATTTTACAACATTCGTCCTTAAAAAAACACACACACACGCTCTCTAGTGAAGCTATCGTCAAAGGTCAGAAAGGTTGAGACTATAGCACAAACACACACACGCACACACGCACAACAACAACTGAGCACTTGTCTCACCCTCCACAGGTCAAGAGGTGATCAGGAGCTTTTTGATGGTTTCTGATTTCCCGGGGTCAGAGGTCAATAGACGTGGACGGTGGACGAAGAAGAGAGTGGAAGCAGATTTGTCCACAGAGGACGGGTTTACCATCGTGCTCCGCTGGAGGAACATCACCATGAGCACAGTCGAGGAGGAGGTGGACTCCTACACTGTACAGCTGTATCGAGGAACGTTTCATTAATATTCTACAAAGCAAATTAAAAAAAACAATCTCAACATTTAAACCATTTTAAAAATTACCTTTTGATTTTGATGCACGATGCACCACAGCTCCGTGAAGCCAGGGGGAGCTGCAGATTCTCTGTGGGTTTGACAATGAAAGAAATCTGAATAATAACAATGAAGAGACGTTGAGAGAGAAGTTTTAAATCTCCCGACCTCACACCTGAACGAGCGCTGCCTGCCGAACCGCTTCACGAGCAAAGTTACAGAAAGCAGAGGTTTCTAATTGTGTCACAGTCAAACACTGTTTCACCGGGGCCGTCACAGGAAGCTGGTTCTGGTTCTGGTTCCCACGGGCTCCGACTGAAACGACTCTGGAGACAGGATCAGGTTTTATATGACGGAGCTGCATTTAGTCTTTATCATCCGCTCCTGCTGACATCGCCGTCTT